AAAAAAAAAAAAAAACCCCCCCGCCCCCCCCCCCCCCCTGCCGATAGAGCCCCTTGACCAGAAAGTGTCTTCGCATGGTGTCATCCCACCGTAAGACTGACCTCAGCAGGTTAAGTGCGGTCGATGCTAACGGAAAGAGACCCCCCCACACACACACGTACCTGCGTGACGCACTCGATCATAACCAAACCGAGCCCCCACACGTCCGCGGGCCGCCCGTACGCCTCCCCGTGGAGCCTCTCCGGCGACATGTACCTGACCGTTCCCACCACCGTCTCCACCATCGCCCCAGCGTGGTCAAGCTCTCGAGCGATGCCGAAGTCGGTGAGTTTAACCTTTTGGGTCGAACAGGGCGGGTGGGGGGTACGCGGGTGCGGCGGTGGGAGGGTGGGTAAGTTACGGGACGGTCCAAAGAAAATTGTTGTAGTGGACTATCTCCTCCTGCAGGGTTGTGGCATTTTATTTTCGTTCCCGGAAACACACCCGTTTTAGGGCGTCTCGCAGTGGGGCAGGTGTTGTCGGATCGTCTGAGCACTGGCGGACGACGCTAGAGTGCTGCCCGTTGGCATAGGCTACAACAAAAACATCCCTCTTGGCATGTCCCCATCCAGCATTACGTTCAGGGGGCCGTATTGTACAGCGTTCCGCGTGCCCTTCTCAGTGTCCTTCCGGGTGTCAGCCGCGTGTTGTGAGCGAGGATACGGGTCATACCGCCAAACGGGTTTGCTGGATATGAGACGCCGGTACGGCCTCTCTCGTATCCGTCTCAGTGCTTGATGGGCTCACCTCCCCTCTGGCGTTGAGAAGGATGTTGCTCGGCTTTACGTCGCGGTGTAGCTGATTGTGCTCATGGAGGTACGTCAGGCCCTGTTCACGCCGACATCAAACCAACACACCGACAAATCAGCAGCAACAACAACGGCACATGAGAACGGACACAACAATCCGACCAGCAACACAAGAGCAGGCACCCAGCGGGACAGGCAACTCAGGACAAACACAGCCAGATCGATGTGACACGAAACTCATACGCCATACATGTAAAACAAACATGCCACGAACAACCGTTTGGCCCCAGCAGCTGCGGCGGCGGCGGCGGCGAAAATCACAAGAGCACCAAACACGCCGCAAGACAAGTGGATCCCCCCCAATACCACACGCGGGTACGCGCACGCGCCACGCATCCATCCCCAAGCCACTTACACCCCACGGCACAAACGCTCGGCACCCACATCCACAGCAGTAGTCCACAATACCCTGTACACCCAACAAAACGTCTTGAGCGCCAACACCGACCCCGGCGGGCACCCACGCCCGCCCGCCTTTCTCACCCCCAATATTTGGTAGACGCAAGCCGCAACCACGTCTTCGGGAAGGCCCGTCTGCACCAGCTCTTCCTCGAAAGCTCGATCCCACTCCTCCTGCTCTCTCTGCCTCTCCAGTTCCGCCGCCGCCTCCACCCGCCGCCTCTCCGCGGCCTCCGGTCTCTGGTGGAACACCCCGACAAACGCGGCGGCGAGGAGAGAAGGAAGAGAACAGTAACCGAACACTGAAAACCAGTCAGCGCTGCCTCGTCTTCGTTGGCCTCTACCTTATCAGCGACAAAAATCTAAGCATTGGACTAGGCACGTCAGCGCTCGCTGACCGGTCCCGATGGTTTACTTTCAAGCAGCGACCAAAATCAAAGCCTCGGATCAGTCAGCGCTGACTTGTCTTGAATAGCAGAAGTGCTTGAACTTGTATCAGCGAAAAAAATCAAAGCAATAGCCTAGACACGCAAGCGCCGATTGGTCTTTGTGGCTTACGTCATCAACCACGAAAAGTGAAGCCGTGGATCAGTCAGCCCCGACTAGTCGAAGGATATACATTGCTACTAGCAGTCGAACCTAAAGCAGTCGGCGGTGACTGGTCTTGCAGTAACGGTTTCATCTCGGCGGTCACACCCAGCAGCAGGTAGTGACTAACGCCACGCCGAACATCCATGCCAACGGGGCAGAGTGTGCTTGATTTCGGCTGTCACGTATCTACACAGGTCCCAGCAACAGCTCCGGCAATACGAGTACTAAAACATGACCCCCAAGTATGGGTGGTACGACGACTCGACCCAAACAAAGGGTAGGAGTGTGCCGCGGCGGCATGTTGAGAGGAGATAGGCCAACTTCCTGGAGGAGGATGACGTGTTCTCACAACAACGACCCGCACGTCGCGAGAGGTCGACTTTCGGAATCCAGAAACACGGCGCCAACCAAGAAAACAAAAACGTGTGAGGAGCAGCCAGGGCGCGGCGATCCCAAGAAAAAGAACCATAAGTGTAGGGATGCGAGGTCAATGGGCGTTCGACTATAAATCACGTGTTTACGTGAGTTGAACTCCCCCCACCCCCTGGCTTCCTCCTCTTCCTCCAACCTCGTCAATCAAACAACCGTCGCACGCACACAGCAATGCTCACATCGTCTTCCTCCAACCTCGTCAATCAAACACTCGTCGCACGCACACAGCAATGCTCACATCGTCTTCCTCCAGCTCCTGCTCGAACCGCAGCGCGGGCTTCCCCCCGGTCCCCCCGTCTCCATTGTCATCGAGCCACGGCGCTTCGACCTGCCCCCTTCCTCGCTCGAGAAGGGTCTCCTTGACGCCGGCCGCGGGCGTCGCTAACGCCCCCTCCGACAGCAGCAGGGGCTCCAGGGAGATGATCGCCTCCTGCTGCGCCTGACTCTCCCCTACGGAAGAATTGCTTGAGAACGAGCCCGTTCGATGCTGCCGGTGCTGTCGGGTCTGATGAGCGACGCCGTTACTTCTGCTACTGCTACTACTACCGCTACCATTGGCCGCTAGGTTCTTCACGATACCACTCGTAGCGGCGGCGATGCCGCCGCCTCCGCCGCCCCCGTTTTTGCCGCTGCTCCCCATGATGAGGGTCTGCTGCCGCTGCGTCTTTTCTCCGGCGCCGCCACCTAATCGCTCCAAGGTTGCTGGCATGTCGTCGTCGTCGTCCGAAACCTGGGGATGCGTTGCGAGCCGCTCCAACCCACCGCCGTCTTGCCCTCTGTCCGGAGGGAAGGTCACCTCCGCCTCATCAGACAACGGAAACGTCTCCGTCCTGTGAGACAACCCTTCCCCGTTTGCACGTCCGATCTGAGGAACCTTGCCGGCTGCCCCCTGCACCCCCGCCTTCTTCGCCACCTCCGTCGATGCCGCTTCCTTCGACTCTTTTTCGACGCTTTTTCGCCGGGCGTTCCATCGAGCCTGTATGTGCATCCGGTACTCGGTAACGTCCGCAAGGCTGCCCCTGTCCATGTACTCCAGGACCACCCTGATGCTCCCGTCAGGCCTCTTGAACGCGCCGAAGAAGTCTACCAAGTGGCTGCAGCACCTGCTCGTGTTGAGAGGGGAGGAAATAGTTGCAACAGGCGGGGACAACAGCAGCAGCAGCAGCAGTTGGTGGAGCTATCATCTCTGTCTCTTGCCAAAACGGCGCATTCGACATCATCCGCCCTGTCTCTCTCTATAGCCAAAGCAGCAGAATCTCAAATACCATCCTGGATCATCCGCTCTTCCTCTCCCTATCGCCAAAGCAGCAGATTCTCTCTCATCATCCGTTGTCTCTCCGTCCGTCTCACCCATTCTCCAAGGACCTGAGCAGGGTCCCGATCTCCCTATCCAGCTGGCGCCGCTTCTCGCGATCGAGAAGCGAGAACACCTTCACCGCGAAGAGCTGGCCGGTGTCCTTGTGTCTCGCCAGGTTCACCACCGAGCACGCACCCCTTCCGATAATACGCCCGTCTCCAAACACTAGCTGGTCCGGCACCACCTGTGAGCACGTGTAAGGGCGCAGGACACACACATAGGTGAAGAGTGTAGGGCATACACACGCATGTTGGTGGTCTTTTGTCAACAGGGCAGCGCAAGGGCATTTGCTCGTTAATATTTTTCCAGGTACATATTTGCATATATCCATCTCAATGGGGAACTCAACCAGACGACAAAACAAAAACAAAAACACGCGGACGCTGACAGTCAAACCTTCAGACGAGCGCAAGTTAACCTTGCTGCAACAGAACCACTAGGACGACAACGAAATCCTACACCATTACAGATGTGTTTGATTAGCACCGGCTGGCATCAATGGGAAAATTTATGGAAAAGGCTTGAATAGACTCGAAACAAGCCCAGCATCCAGCAGGGTCCTCTCCCACTCACCGCAAAGCCTTCATTCAACACCCCCCCTTTGACTGCACATATCTCGAATGGGAGTTGTTTCACTTTCTGTGAATGTATGCATGTGCTGAAAAAAAACAATCCGTGCCCAGGACACCACACACAAGCCCGGAAACGTTTTTCCGTTCTCGGTCCGCAGGCCGTGAGACTTCGGCATGTATCATTTGGCGACTAGCGAGTGCCGCAAAACGTTTTGCTTGCTAATCAGAAGCACTTAAGTGCATCCCCCACGTCATGCAAAGTAGCAAGGAACGATTGGCCATCGGTGATCGGTCCTGTGGGAACAATGCTCCGTCCTCTCGAGGACGCGTGGTCAATGGTCTAACCGCTAAGACATGCAAAACATAAGAGTACGCCCCCCCC